ACAAAATCAAATAAATAAAATAAATAACTTACAGAATTTATTTTATCGACCTGAATGAAAAATAAAATATCAATTCGAGTGTGTGACACTCTGTTTTGAAGACAAATTCGTCCCGCCATGGTGCTTACGGTAAAGTGGTGTCTATCTCCCAGGATACAATGATCTTCACAAATTTGTAGTAGCACTCCAAATAAATTTATCCGGCGAACTAGAACCTTGTGTTCTAATCCTCTATTTAATTTTCTCTAATACTAGAATGAAGAATAAAATGCAAAGGAGAAATATGGGCTGCAAAAATAAATTTTTTCTACCTGCTTTTTTTTATCCCAAGACTGCCGGAACAGCCTTCAATTTATAGACAAATACAGACCCCAACAAGTACATACAAGAGGTGAACAGGTGTAAGTTTGAATTGAACAGATACTGTTTGAACTAAACAAATCTGTTGGCAGTTTTGGATCTATAACTGTCAGTTTCGAATTTGTAACTGCTGGGTAGTTTTTCATGCTGTTAAAAATAGTTTAAATCTGTTGTGGAATCAAATAAACATGTGTAATTCAAACTACGGACAGATAACTGTGGCAGTTTTTATCTGTTATAACAGCTGGATAGATTTAAATGTTAGAACAGACCCGACCCACAACCCACACCCATGCCTGGCACAGCTCGGCTTGGCCGGCGGCAGTGGCGGCACGCGTGTGGTGGTTTGGGCTAAGGTTCACTTTGTCCATAACTTCTCCCTTCTAAAAACTTGGGGTGCTCTTTGGGGCCTAACTCAAGTGTTGTCACCTAGAACTTATATACACACATAAGTTCTCTTCAAGTTTCAATATGGGACAAGCCTTACAAGGAAACCCACATTTAGTTCTTTAAATGTCCAATTTCACGAACCCGAAAACAACGTCAACTTCCCATTCACTCATAAATGGTTTTGACGAACCGTCTTCACTGTGTGACTTACCATGTAGCAAGGAACACGTCACCTTTTCGGACCCAACCCAAACGACGTTTGGGGCCCACTCAATTTTGGGCTCAAAGTTGGCCCAAAATAAGCCTTATAGAAACTAATTTTCCAACACTAAACTATTGAGATTGTTCTGTTAATAATGCTTATGGAAATATACCACGCCATGAATTTATTTATGAAAGGTTTGATGAGCTTTGTATGTTATAGATGTGTATCCGGTAAATGTTTCGAACACGTTTTGAATATTGTTTTAAATTAAGTTATGAAACTCATTCATTTAACCTCTTTTCATTGAGATTACTCATCGGACTTCCAGCTTACCCTCTTTCCTTATATATATGTAGGTGAGCATCAAGAGGAGCCACATTATCAGATTGCATTGAGTCAACCCCTTTTGTGAAGCCACCCAAGATGTGCCTCTGCGATGATGATTCAGTTTATATTCTGGCCAAGGTTTGTAAAGTTTTGGTTTATCTAGTTTTGTTAAGTCATATGAATGATCTTGGGTTATGTATTAAAATTAAAGTTTGGAATATTATAAGTCTGTGAGATGAAGTGTTTGTTTAATTGTGTTCATTTCATATAAGCACAATTCAATGGACAATAATATTCTTCTTTGCTTCTGCTTGAGGCCCCAATATTACTTAAATATTTTGATTTTCTGTCTGAGGCCATAAGTAATCTAATCATTATTGGCCAATTATGATCTAAAGCTTTAGAGGCGGGTTTGGGTCATGACACTACTGGCCGCTAGAAGTGCTCGGTCTGATAGGACTTTGTATGGCCAAATCAAACACACCCATCGATCATTTTCTCAAAAAAAAATTTCTCACTCAATTTTAAAATTACTATTAGTCGAACAACTCTCTTTAAATAAATTTAGGTAATAAACTAGTTACAATTGCGCGCACACGCACACGCACGCGCACACACATAAAGTAGTCAAGAAATTTTTGGCTTAATAAGTTTCTCCAGGATCGACTCGAGACAACTTGAGACTTATGAAGCACAGGTACGGGTATGAGTATTGATACTGGTACGATATGGGTACATCAAAACAGTAAAATCTAAATAATAATAATAAAAAAAAAGAAGCTACGGATATGACTTAATACATTTGTAAAAAATATTTATTTTTAATTTATTAAGATACAGCATACAATTTACATTTAATGCTATAAAAGTACAAGTATAAGATAAACCAAAATTAAATGTCATTATATTAAATAACTTACAGACCATAGCTTAATTTTAAAATTAGTATAAAACTAAAAATGAAAAAAAGTCTAGTAAAATGAATTTTATTTCTGTAGTAGAAGAAAATATTGTTTTGACTGAGTTATGGCGCGATTTGGGTATATACTAGGCACGTCTCGGTGTGTCAAAAATTAAAAAGAAAAAATTTGAGTACGTATTTTGTGTATCTAGTACGTATGCAGAAATATCATATGTCGGTATGTATCCAGTACGAGTATGATATATTTGTCGAATTACCCATGTTTCATAGTCTTAAGATAATTCTAAATGAGGATTTTTATATTTTTAATATTTTTTTTTACAAAGTATATATTATTTAAAATTAAAAACTTTCATTATTGAGATAAAAAATTATTTATTAAATATTTAAATTTATTTTTTTATATTTGGGGGGCAAATTGATTTTTAAGGTATAGTTCGGGGGATAAAATAAAATTCCAATTGAACTTTGATATCATGTCAGCACAATCCGTCTAATTGTAAACAAAATATGATGGCAAGGGCCAAATTAATCAAAATTTTGAAAGTTTGAGAGTAAAATTGATATTAATCAAAATCTAAGGTCAAATTAAAAAAAGCGTAAAAGTTTGGATGCCAAAATAATATTTCCTCAAACAAAATACATTTTGGCTTTCAGTAAAAATATATGGATATTTCAATTCAGGATACATAGATAAGTTGTTTGCATGAAATAAATTGATATTTCGCATCATTAATACAAATGAGTTTATGGTATAAACCCAAAGCAATATTGGATAAAATCTGTTATTAGTAAAATGTAACATATCTATTACTATCATAAAAGTGTGAAAAATTGTCATGATTTTTATTTTTAACATATTTTGAAAATATCTTACGAAACTTATTAAACATTAACAAAACTATAAACAACCATAAATTTCTTTTGAAATTTAAACATTTTAAAACAACCAAACGCCTTAAAAATATCACAATCTACTATCAAACACCTTGGATGATTCGGAGAGCTTTTTTTTCCAGAAGGTTCAATTTTTCTAAATATCTTTACATTATTGGTATTATTGGTACTTTGTGAAGTTGTCAAATTCTCTGTTTCATATTCATAACTCATGTCCAACTATATTATTTTGTATTATAATATGCATCATCATTTATAATAATATCGGTAATATCATTCATTGATTGAAGAGTAGCACTCAAAGGTATTACCTAAACAGTACAAATCCATAATCAATTTAAGTAGGTGATTCTGTTAAAACCACTAATAGTGGGTTGAGTACCCTCAATTCAAAAATTTTTTTTTTTTGAGGTGATTTTTTTTTAATTCATTATTCTAAAATATCATAACATTTTAATTCTTTGTTACCCATCTGTTTCGAATTTCAAAACCAAGCAGTCGATCGCATTGTCTCTCAATTAACTCTGTTTGACAACTTAGTGGTTGTACAAACAAATAAAAACATAACAGGCTACTTATCAGGTTAGGCTTTGTACAAGTAGTAGCCTTTTTGTTTTTTGTTTTTTGTTTTGTTTTGTTTTTGTTTTTGTTTTTTTTCTTTTCGTTCTTTGTTCATATGTGTAAAGAAAAGCAAATGACTCTTGAGTATATTTTTATGGATTAAGGCTTCTTCCTAGTTGGGTTTTCCAATTGGAGTATGTTATTGGGTCTCTATGGGCTTAGTATGGAGCTCACATCGATAATCCGAACCGTTCAATATGTAGGATTGATTCAGTATTTTATCCCTATAAAAAAATCACGTTGATCAAATATCGATAGCCACTTGATCAAATCACATTTATATTAACAATTTATTTTTAAAATCATAGTAACATTGACACAAATTTGATCTGATCAAGTGGCTATCAATATCCAATCAACGTTATTTATTGCAAGAATAAAGTACTCGACAAGTATTACACATTGAACAATTCAGATAATCAATGTGGGTTTTATAAGTGGGCCCACATAGCCCAACAAAACGCTCAATCCGATCGGGCTAGAGAAAAGTTATTCCCTATTTTATACTCGTTTTGTACAGAAGTTATAAATTGATTATTTTTTTTTAGTAATTTAAAAGGTTATGTCAACAAAGTTTTCACTCTCTATGATTTAAAATTTTCAGAATTAATTTTCTGAGTTTTTAATTTTAGATCGACTTAATATATATACACTTAAAAAATATATAATTTGTACAAAAAAAAATTAAAAATCATTGAATATAACAAATTACTAAAATGTATTAATTTTTTGTATTATTTTGTATGCAATAAATTTTTCATTGGATTATGTAAAAGGAAAGGAATAATAGTGTTTTTTTTTTTTTAGATAGTAAGAATAATAGTGTTAGACTCACAAAAATTAAACACATAAAAGTGTTGGATGAAATTTATTTTAAGTCTAACTTACATCACACTCAAAATGAATTTTAACTACCCAAACATTTTCTTTATAGAGCACTGCTGGAGAGCTCTAATCCAGCAGCTCTAATGCCAGCTCTAATGAGCTGGCATGAAGGAAATAAAATAAATAAATAAATAAAAAAAAAACAAGACACAGTCCATCACTGGACCCCACTGCCAACACACTAGTGATGGATTTAGAGCTCATTTTTTAGAGCTCTAAATCATTTTTGTTAAGTCCAATTGCAACTGTGCAGTTTCAACAATCAGAACCAACTCTGCTAAAACTCAGTGACTACCTGTTCCTCGAAAGTGAGCAACCGAGAGCAGGTGTTGTGAAGGATGTCGATTATCTCCGTCTGAGTCTTGTTTTCCTTAAGGTACTCCAGCGCCTCAGTAACAAAGTAGAAGCCAATAGAACCATAAGCATAGACTTTGCATCACTACTGATACAGATTTGGGTGCCCTGCCCTCTCGAACTAAAACCTGCACTTCCCACACAATTCAAACTTGTAAATAAATACATGTGGAAATATCATTTTGTCCTTTAAAATTTCACTCATTTTTTAATTTGAACTTTAGATTTCGATTAATATCAATTTTACATCCAAACTTTTGAAATTTTAATCAATTTAAGCCCTGCCGTCACATTCCGTTTACAATTGGACGGAATGTACTAACATGGCATCAAAATTCATTAGAAATTTCATTTTATCCCCTAAACTATACCTTAAATATCAATTTGCCCCCCAAACTGTACCTTAAAAATCAATTTATCTCACATGTCAGCACATTCCGTCCAATTGTAGACGGAATGTGAAGGCAGGGATCAAATTGATCAAAATTTTGAAAGTTTAGGTATAAAATTGATATTAATCGAAGTCTAGGGGTCAAATTGAAAAACATGTGAAAGTTTGGAGGGCGAAATGATATTTTCTCTAAATACATTGAAGAAAGCATTGTGTCAATAAACAATAGTACGGGCAGAATTATCATATAGGAGACATATATATATATATATATCTAATCAAAATTTTAAAAAATAAAATACAAATTATAATATCAATTTCTACTAACGTGATCAAGTAACTAACTGATGTCTGATTTTATTCTTTACAGATTATAGCTTATAATTAACACTAATTATTAAAAAAAATTCTTTTATTATATTTTGTCTTTTTTTAATTAATTTTATGTTTTGATTACATGTTTCATAGATATAGAGTGATAGTCAATTAAACTTTCTTTTAAAATCTAGAGAAGATGATTCTTAAAATTTGTAAAAGAAGAAAAATTTAGGAGCAAGTGTCTATAATTTGTAAATAATTATAACTAATAATTATAATAATAGCCGTGATTCCTACCCCAACTGGGGGTCGACCCCCAATGATGTGGCGCAGCGCCATTCGCCAGTTTTCTATTCTTTTTTTTTTTTCTTTCCTTCCAATCACCCACAGCCCACGTGGGCTGGGGGTCACTGGGCTCGGCAATTACTGGGGTCGGCCGCATTTTTCTTATAATAAATGGTGCTTTTGAAAACGTACCCCCCTCTAGGTGCAGATGGATCTAATTAAGGCGTCTACGCATGGACCAATAACTCTTTGAGCGATGTTGGTAAACACGAAAGCTGAGAGGGGAAGGCCAGCGATAACAGCAACTGAAATATTAAGGCCAGATGAATGTGCTAAGACAGCACGTGTCCCCGCAATGAACGCAAACATCATTGCAATCGTAGCACAAATAATAAGATAAGCAGCTATATAAACTAGCTTCTCTACTTCATCCCGATTGTTAGTAATAGCCGCAAAGAAGTGGATGAGCACTGCTGAAATGGAGAATGACATGGCCATGGTATCTGCTACCATAAAAAATTTGAAAAAGTATGCTCTTCTTAGAACCGCCATGCCTTGGTTTGGGCCATCGTTGCCATTGTATCCACCGGGCATCGTGAAAGCAGCAGTAAAGGTTACAGTTGCTATAAGTGTAGCCACTATCAAATGGTTTGCCCCTGCTTGCTTCAGTTCTTTGGGTGTTAGTACATTCCTATCATCAGGCCGAGTTGGTTCCTGCAAATAAAAAGCAAAATAAAATAAAACAAATAATAAATTATACAAGGCAAATTTCATTCTACCATGTTACTTTTGCCCATGTTTGAGTTATCTCATTCTCATTTGAAAACGTTAAATATTATGTAATTTAATAACAAGTGTAAAACACATAGGCATAAAGGAGATTATATGCTCATTTCAAATTTAAAAGGAATAAATTACACATAAAATAAAATATAGGAATTAAGATGCATTTTGTCTCCCAAATAAATAATGAAAATATCCGTAGTTTGCACACCAAGATTGCTTATATATAGAGGCATTTAAATCTTTTTCATTAAATCGTTAGTGGGGCTAATAGTACACTTTGGTTCACAAATATGGCTACATGATTATTTCCTAAAGAGAAACGAGGAATCCCAACATAGGTCAAATCACAATGTGATAAAATAAAATTTGTCCAGTTATAAACACAAATAAATGGTAAATGCTAGGAGTGACCTGGTGTGTAAGATTAAAGCTAGGTTTGACATCTCCTAAAAAAATTAAAAAGCCACTGTCCCATTTAAGTCACATCATCTTATTTAAGTCACGTCACCTCTCTATCACATCACTTCAAACTCAACCTATATTTCATAAAAAGTCAAAAAGTGTACCGATTTAGAACATCTCAAACAATCTTTAAATTTAATTATTTAGTCATTATAATGACTCACATGATATGACAATATTAATTATAGATTTAATAGGATTTATGTTCCATATCTTTACTCACAAGTTTTATCTGATAGTCAATAAGAAGAGTGGTTTCCAAGTTTCTTATTTTGATGGGCAAGTAAAGTGATGTTTGAACAAGGAAATTGGGCATTGCTTTGCCTATAAAATAACATTTCGAGTATCCATCAAAAAATTCTGAATTCACGTATTTTAAAGGGGGTTAAGAGAGAGAAATCATTTATTCATGAACCTAAAACTTAGGATTTATCTATTGAATCTCTAAAGTTTACAATTGTTTACATAAAAATCATGATAGTTATAGATCTTGGATTATGAAGGTTGTTATATGCATAATACTATAAAATTTATTTATATTGTGGACTATGTAGTTGTCCCTTAAAAAATTAAAATAATGAGAAAGTTAGATGTTCGGGATTTGAGTCGATGGAGCGACTGTTATCCTTTCGTTGTGATGTAACTTACTAATCCACTAACATTTTATATTTTTTTAAGGAAATAAAAAAAAAATTAAAGGGTTAAATTTATTTTATCCCCTTGTGGTTGGGGGTTAGAGCACTTTACCTCCTATGGTTCAAATATAGCTAGAAAAACCTCATGACTAAAGTGGTACCATTGATTTTGCCATCCAAACTAACAAAATGTGTATTTCACACACTACTTTTGAGAGTGGATTTGATTTCCTGAAAAATTAAAGTGAAATTAATATAACAAAAAAACAATTTAATCCTAATTTTCTCTAAACCTAAAATTAGATGAATATGTTAATTAAAATAAAATAAATCAAATTAAAATATAATTAAAAATTGATCTAAAATATAAAATACAATTAAGAAATAATTTAAAATATAATTAAATAAAAATATAAAATAAATAATAATTAAAAATTGAACTAAAATATAATTAAATTAAAATTAGATTAGATTAATTATAATAGATAATTAAGCATTTAAGATTAATTGTGATCTAAAATATTAAATTAAAATTAGATTAAAAATTTAGTAATTAGAATAAATAATTAAATATTTAGGATTAATTGTGATATAAAATATAATAAAATTAAAATTAGAATAAAAAGAACAATTAAAATAAATAATTAAGAATTTATAATTAATTGTGACCTAATTAAATTAATGTTAAACCTGATAAATTATGTGTATGAGAGCACCAAGGATCCTCTATAGTGTTTTTTTTCTAAAGTTTCCTAAAGTGGTATATTGTGTGGTTGAGATTTAATACTGAAAAATTGATGTGACTTGTCATTAAATCTCAATCACACAATACACTACTCTAAGAAACTTTAAAAAAAAAAACTCTAAAGGATCCTTACTCGAGAGAGAGGAGATAGAGAGAAAATAATTAAAAATATATATATATATATATATAAGATTTGATGGTATTATAATCATTTTATATGTGGTTCAAAATCACATGTGCCTCTCTCATTATTTTTCAGCCATAAGGGGTAAAGAAGTTTAGCCTGAAATTTTGATGAGCTAAAATGAATTTAACCCAAAAATAAAAAAATAAAAATGATTGTAAATGAAGTTTAACCCGTTAGTTCTGACCTCAGCACTCAATTGGGAGAGAATGTCCCAAGCTTGTTTGGCTTTTGTAGCATCCTTGATTCTTGGAAAGATCCGATCTGAGACGCCTTGCTGGATGTGAGAAAGAGTTGCAGCATCCTTCTGTTGCTTCTCCTTGCTGGTCTCATCATACCCATTCTGTACCGTGTCCCATAAATCCATAGATAAAAACAGAGTTTTCATCTTCACACTCCAAAACTCGTAGTTGGTACCATCAAAAATTGGAATTGTGGCCATGTAGAGTTAACTCTGTTAAGGATATTCACTTCTTCAATTTGCAGCTCATCTTCCTTCCACAAACCATAAACTCTACTACAACCATATCTTGTTTGGCTTTTGTAGCATTCTTGATTCTTCGAAAGATCCGGTCTGAGACGCCTTGCTGGATGTGAGAAAGAGCTGCAGCATCCTTCTGTTGCTTCTCCTTGCTGGTCTCATCATACCCATTCTGTACCGTATCCCATAAATCCATAGATAAAAACACAGTTTTCATCTTCACACTCCAAAACTCGTAGTTGGTACCGTCAAAAATTGGAATTGTGGCCATGTAGAGTTAACTCTGTTAAGGATATTCACTTCTTCACCTTGCAGCTGATTTGGAATTCTATCTTCATCGGATTCCTATTTATGCAGATTTGGAATTCTATCTTCATTGGAGTGGATTCCTGATTCTTCACAATCTATGTCTTACAAGTGGGGATGGCCACGTGATGGATTGGGAGCCGGCGAGGGCGGCCGGTTAATATTATAATTAAAACAATAAAAATATTAATAAAATTTATAAATAATAGAGTACATACATGTGAATTCCAGTTGTACATTTTTGATTCTTCACAATCTATGTCTACACAATCTATGTCTACAAGTAGGGATGGCCACGTGATGGATTGGGAGCGGGCCAAGGCCAGGGCATATTATAATTTAAAAAATAAAAATATTAATAAAATTTATAAATAATAGAGTACATACTTGTCATGGAAGAATATTTATTTGTGAAGAACTGAAATTTCTCAATTGTTAGCTTCTATTTAATTTTTATTTTATATAATATAAAAAAATTAAATATAATTATCATATTTTTATTAAATAATATATTATTTTATCCTATACAATTGGGATTCAAATCCTAATGAGCTAGTTTGGGTCGGAGTTGAAAGTAGTTCAAAAAATCGAAGAGTATGTTTCGAATTGGGGTCTCTCTTTGATAAGTGCTTCAACAAGGATTTCACAACAAATTGTGATAAAAAGTGAATGTGTGGTTCGACTTTCTTTCATTTCATCTCCTAATTGCACCTCTACGGAGATAGCAAATAATAGAGATCTCAAATCTCTATGGGATTTACACACATACATGTGAATTTGTATGGATCTCACACCCATATGAGAGATTTGATAAAAAATTTGGTAATCATTTGGGATCCATAGTATTTTCCAATAATAATAATCAATCAATTGTTTTTAAAATTATGTCATTAGAAATGAAATTAAGCATGTAAAATTAGAGGAATGTAATATCACCTTATTTAACTAGTCTATTTTCTTTTCTTTTTTTTTCTTTTCATTAATGATCTACTCGACCAGCCTATTAATGATCTACTCAATTAACCTAACAATATAAGCAGTTTGAACTATTGAAATAACCTTGAAACAAACCCCCACGAGTCTCACAACAATTACCATTGTGTGATACTTATAGTAGCACCCCCAATTCCTCAAAATTTTGCCCATAATTAAAATATGTAAATAAATTTATTTTGAATACAACTCATAAAGTACTAATTTTAAATCTACACTTTACATTTCACTTTATTGGTAAAATTTTGATTAAATTGTTATAGTAACTAGAATTATTGGGAAAATTTGCTGAGAGATCCATTAAATTGTAGCGAGGTGTATGGCATTAGGTCCGAGAATTGTTTTGTTTTAGGGGTTGTTTGGCATCTTTGATATTAGTATATTTTTTATCTTTTTTAGTCACGTCACCTCTTTATTTTTTCATACATTTTTTTCATAAAAAGTTATAAGGTATACTTATTTAAATCATTCTAAACAAGCCCTTAGTTATAAAGAGATGATCAATAAAATTATTCAGTGGGAAAGACAAATTTGTTTTGAAGAATAATATTTTTCAATTTTACCCATTGTTACAAAAACGTCAGTTGTCAATCACCGAAAAAATTTCCAAATGGTGGCATCTTGCATCAGCTGGTAGTGGTGGTAATATGAACAAATAGATAGATTAGTTGGACAAATAAGTGACACTAAACATATATGTGGAATAATTGATAAATAAACAAATAGATTAAAGTAATATAAATAAAGAAATAACAGCCAGCAAAATTGACTTTCGCAAGAAGGACGGATGTAGATCTTTTAGAGTTTGGGTTACAGCTGCACATGGTGCGCTGCAGCACATTTTATTAGGTTTATTTTATGGCTTAATTCGATAATTTAAACCGTTCACATTTTAAAAGTTATTAAGTAAAATATATCTGTAAAAAATCACATCGATCGGATATCGTTATCTCTTTCATCAAATCACATTTGTATTGAGTTTTATATTTCAAATTACATTTGTCTTTTTTTTTATATAAATACAAATGTGATTTGATTAAAAGGCCAACGATATCCAATTGACGTAATTTTTTACTAATATATTCTACTCAATAACTTCTAAAATGTGAACGGTTTAAGTTATCAAATTACACCTTGACATAGGCCTAATATAATATGTAACAGTTGCTATTATACACCATAAGCAATAGCAATTCCAGACATGTAAGCAAATTTGGAATTCTATCTTCATTGGATTCCTGTTGTACATTTTGATTCTTCACAACCTATGTCTACAAGTAGGGATGGCCACGTGATGGATTGGGAGCGGGCCAGGGCCAGTTAAATATTATAATATAAAAAATAAAAATATTTAAAAAATTTATAAATAATAGAGTACATATTATGAGTAATAATTTATGATTAATAAAAATTAAGAGATGTAAGAAGGGATGGTATGCAGATTTGGAATTCTATCTTCATTGGATTCCTGTCGTACATTTTGATTCTTCACAACCTATGTCTACAAGTAGGTGTTTTTTCTTATTAATTAAGGTCCCTCAATAATATTATTAGATAAATTTTAACTTGTCACGGAAAAATATTTAATTGTGAAGAACTAAAATTTCTCTATGAAAAAAGAAATTTCTCTATGGCTAGCTTCTATTTAATTTTTATTTTATATAATATAAAAAAATTAAATACAATTATCATATTTTTATTAAATAATATATTATTTTATCTTGTGCAATTGGGGATTCAAATCCTAATGAGCTAGTTTGGGTTGGAGTTGAAAGTTGTTCAAAAAATCAAGGAGTATGTTTCGAATTGGGGTCTCTCTTTGATAAGTGCTTCAACAAGGATCTTTGTTTCACAACAAATTGTGATAAAAAGTGAATGTGTGGTTCGACTGTCTTTCATTTCATCTCCTAATTGCACCTCTACGGAGATAGCAAATAATAGAGATCTCAAATCTCTATGGGATTCACGCACATACATGTGAATTTGTATTGATCTCACACCCATATAAGAGATTTGATAAAAACTTTGGTTATCATTTGGGATCCGTAGTATTTTCCAATAATAATAGTAATCAATCAATTGCTTTTAAAATTATGTCATTAGAAATGAAATTAAACATGTAAAATTAGAGGAATGTAATATCACATTATTCAACTAGTCTATTTTCTTTTCTTTTTTTCTTTTCATTAATGATCTACTCAACCAGCCTATTAATGATCTACTCAATCAACTTAACAATATAAGCAATTTGAACTATTGAAATAACCTTGAAACAAACCCCCACTAGTCTCACAACAATTACCATTGTGATACTTACAGTAGCATCCCTGATTCCTCAAAATTTTGCCCATAATTAAAATATGTAAATAAATTTATTTTGAATACAACTCATAAAGTACCAATTTTAAATCTACACTATACATTTCACTTTCTTGGTAAAATTTTGATTAAATTTTTATAGTAACTAGAATTATTGGGAAAATTTGCTGAGAAATCCATTAAATTGTAGCGAGGTGTATGGCATTAGGTCCAAGAATTGTTTTGTTTTAGGGGTTGTTTGGCATCTTTGATATTAGTATATTTATTTTTATTTTTTTATCTTTTTTAGTCACGTCACCTCTTTATTTTTTTATATATTTTTTTCGTAAAAAGTTAAAAAGTATATTTATTTAAATCATTCTAAACAACTCCTTAGTTATAAAGACATGATCAATAAAATTATTCAGTGGGAAAGACAAATTTGTTTTGAAGAATAATATTTTTCAATTTTACCCACTATTACCAAATCGTCAGTTGTCAATCACCGAAAAAGTTTCCAAAAGTGGCTAGTGGTGGCATTTGGCATCGGCTGGTGGTGGTGGTGGTGGTGGTGATATGAACAAATAGATAGATTAGTTGGACAAACAAGTGGCACTAGACATATATGTGAAATAATAGACAAATAAACAAATAGATTAAAGTAATATAACTGTTCAAATTGTTATTGTCGTTATGATCTCAAATATTTCAAATTGAATTTATGGCTTGATTGCCTGAGTCATTGATACAAATATTATTCAACACACAAATAAATAGTATAAATATATTTGTGACATGACCACTTTAATTATTCCACAAAGATCAATAGATAAGAGAATAATTACATTTTAAAAAATATGATAAAAGGATGATACCATTTTTTTTTTTTTTTACTTTTTTCTTGAAACTGATTAGGAAGACCATTATTGTTAGGCTAATTTACCAGCCAATCTCCCTTTCTAGCTTATTACCTATTAGGTCGTGACTTATATTTTTATGTACTATTAAGTCCTTAGTTGCCTATAACACTCTCATTGAATTTATTACTCATTAATTTTCTCAATTTTTATTAACTTCTCTTGATCATTTTCCCAGAACCATTCTTCTTCTTCTTCTTCTTCTTCTTCTTCTTCTTCTCTCTCTCTCTCTCTCTCTCTCTCTCTCCATATCTCTTTCTCTCTTTTTCTAGAAAATACCACCATCATTGCCATACCATTCTTATCTCTCTCTCTCTCTCTCTCTCTCTCTCTCTCTCTCTCTCTCCATATCTCTTTCTCTCTTTTTCTAGAAAATACCACCATCATTGCCATGGCCATGGCCATCTACCTACCACCACCACCACCACCATCGTCGACTGTCATTGACCATCACTACCTTCGTCGACCACTACCACTACCACCATTGTTCACCAATCATCTCTGCCGTCACTGATCTATACTTCACCAGCTCCGATTCACTGCCACTGTTTACCAACCACCTTCACCATTGCCGATTTACACTATGCCATTGCCGATCTATACTTCGTCCTAGATCTACATTGATGTAGTTGTTTCTACTATGAAATCAACTTCAAACGACTACAAGCAACATTGATTCTCCAAATCTTGCCTTTCTCTTCCTCCCTTACTCTCTCTTTATTTCTCTCAAACCAAAACTTGCAAACAAGGGTTTAATCTATCAGTGATAAATTTATCATTGATATATATCTTTGAATCTTGAGTTGATTTGTTATGATGATGATTCTTTGTGTTGATTTGTGACGATGATGACGAGATTTTCTTTTTGTAATTTTTTAACAAACAGTCAGCGAGACATTTATCAGTGAGTGTGTCTATCAGTGATAAATTTAACATTAAATGTGTCT